CAAAAAGTTGGTTCTTTGAAAGGGTTAATAAAATTGGCAAACCGCTGGCAAAACTAAAAAAAAAAAAAGAGGGAGAAGACACCAATAGCTTAAAAAGAAGAACAAGGTTGGAGGCTTCTCACTCCCTGATTTCAAAATTTACTACAGAACTACTGTGGTCAAAACAGACTGGTACTGGTACAATGAAAGATGCATTGATCAATGGAACAGAATTGAGAATCCAGAAGTTAATCTATCCACATACAGCCAAATGATTTTCGACAAAGTGCCTAGGTATATTGCTTGGGGAGGAGATAGTCTCTTTAACAGATGGTGCTGGCAGAACTGGAAAGCGATCTGCAAAAGACTGAAACAAGACCTATACCTCACGCATTATATATAAAAAAAAAGAACTCAGCATGGATTAAACACCAAAATGTGAATCCCAAAATTATGAAAGTCATCAATGAAAAAATAGGGACAAATGTGAGGGCAATAATACAGGCATACACAGATTATCAAAGATTTTGAAAATTACACAAACAAAAGTAGATAAAATAGATTGGGAAATACTAAAAATTAAAAACTTATGTGCATCAAAAGACTTCACCAAAAGACTAAAAAGAGAACACACAGAATGAGAAAAAAATCTTCTGCAATGACACATCAGATAAGGGGCTCATTTCTAAAATATACAGGAAACTGCAACACCTCTAAAAGAAAAAGACAAATAATCCAATTAATAAATGGGCACAGTACCTGAACAGACACTTCACCAAGGAGGAGATCAGGGCAGGCAACAAACATAAAGAAATGTTCACGATCACTAGTCACCAGAGAGATGCAAATCAAAACAACAATGAGATATCATCTCACACTAGAAATAACAGCAAAGATCAAAAAAGTAGAGGACAATACATGCTGGCAAGGATGCAGAGAGACTGGGATACTCCTACAGGGTTGGTGGGATTTCAAAATGGTCCAGCCACTCGGGAAAGCAATATGGCACTTCCTCAGAAAGTTGGAAATAGAAATCCTTATGATCCAGCAATTCTACTTGGAATTTACCCACAAGAAATACAAGCCATAACACGAGTAGATATATGCACACCAATGTTCACAGCAGCATTATTTACAATAGCAAAAAAGATGGAGACAGCCAAAGTGCCCATCAACTGAAGAATGGATAAACAAACTGTGGTACATACACACAATGAAATACTATACTATCTTGAAGAACAACAAGGAAGCTGCAAACCAATGTATAACATGGATTAACCTTGAGGATATAATGCTGAGTGAAATTAGCATCAGTTAAAAAAGGAGAAATACTGCATAGAACCATTATTGTAAAAGACTAAGAAAAAGAACCCACATTATATATATAACCCACCTATATATATATAATTGCTGATCACCCAGATGTATGGGATGAGAGGAGCAGAGAGAGGGAAGGGAAGATAGAACACAGGGTAGGGATTAGACACAGGAAAGCTTGGGTGCCGGCGGTGGGGGGGAGGGGGGGAGAGGCAATACAAAAGAAGGGGGAGGGGAATGGAAGAACAAGGCTGATGGGAGAACAGTTATGCAGGTATACATGGGCTAAGTGGGACAGAGGTAAATGATGATGTATACACAACCTTGGAATAACAGGGCTTCTGGATGCAGGGATTGAGGCATGGTTTGAAACGGGAAAAGAGGGGATTAATGTTAAAAAGCTTGGCTGTCTTTTGAATCTTGGTTTCCCTTGCCCACCATTGTGAAATAGACACTGGGGTGGGGGTGGGAGAAGGATAGTCAGAAACATCACGAAAGAAAGCTTGTAAGTCTGTCTTCAGCCTATAACTGACTGGAATACCTTAAAGAGGGCTAGAAATTGCCCAGTGAAAGAGACCTCCTGTGGAGCTTTTGCATTGTATAAAAACATAGGTGGAGACCACAATCACATCCAGAATTGTCTGAGGTGGGAAATTTCCACTGGAAAGGACGAATAGACCAGCCAAGCAGCTAGAAGAACAGAAGATACTTTGTGAAGAAAGACCAGCAGGAAAAATCAGAAAAATAATAGCAGTATGATTGATTAATATAAGAATAAGTAAGCTGTTCGCACGGGAGCCTTCAAGGCAAGTGGTTGGGTTCCCTCAGACTTAGTCCTTCCAAGTCCTTCCCTTAGTGCTTCCAAGACTAAGACTCAAGGGGAATACACACCAGGCATGTAGTCTGGATGGCAACCACAATGGTCACCGGTAAGGGGAGAGGGGTAAAAAACAACAATGTAGTTGGGATCTAAGTCCAACCACATTCAACAAACCCCTGTAAACCTGGGTGGAGATCTGGATGACCAGCAGTTACGGATGATTCAGGGACGCTTGGGCCCAGAGGCAGTGCAATGGCCACAGAGAACTAGAGTGTAGACTGAAGCGTCCAGCTGATATGAAGTGAGGGGAGATTCACAAGAACACCCATAATTGCAGATAGTACCCAATTGACTTGGCTCAGATGGCTGGATGATCAGAACTTGACTAGAAGAAAGAGGGAAGGAAAAAAAAGAGAAACCCACTACAATTTGATGAACTTTACCAGCTCTGATAGCATAATGGTTATGAATCGGGCTGCTAACCTCAAGGTCGGCAGTTTGAAACTACCAGGCATTACTTGGGAGAAATATAAGGCTTTCCGCTCCTGTAAAGATTTACAGCCTCAGAAACGCTGTGTAGGGTCATTATGAGTTGGAACCAACTCCATGGTACTTGACAACAACATGGATGTTTGTTGTTGTTAGATGCCATCGAGTCGGTACCAACCCATAGCAATCATATACACAGCAGAACGAACACTTCCGGATCCTGGGCCAACCTCACTACTGTTGCCACACTTGAGTCCATCGATGCTGTCACTTGGCCAATCCATCTCGTTGGGGGTCTTCCTCCTTTTCTCTGACCCTCCACCTTACCAAACATGATATCCTTCTCCAATGACTGGTCCTTTCTAACAATATGTCCAAAATATGAGAGATGAAGTTTGGTCATCTTGGCCTCCAGGGAGCACTCTGGCTGCACTTCAATCAAAACAAATCTATTGGTTCTTCTGGCAGCCCATAACACTTTCAATATTCTCCTCCAACACCATACTCAAAAAAGGGGAAAAATCTTTACAGCAAGGATCACTCCCACCCCCTCAGTACACAGGGTTGACAGGGATGGGCAACTTAGACATTGGCTACCCAGAATGGAGCTGCCTATAAAGGTAAGAAGTGACTGGCTTACAAGCTTTCAAGAAGGAGCCTAGTTCCAGATGGGGCAGGGGTAGGTAGAAACTCCACTGAATGATTTCCAATCTGATGGGACTAGGCTGGCAAAAGGAAATGGGGATAAGAGTCTTGTGGTACAATAGTGAATAATTGCCATCAGGACTGACTGTGAGGGCAGGAAATATAGAGGTAGATGTTTTTTGACAAAAGGAGGGGAGTGACTGAGTTTGCAGCCCAGGAACGGAGGTCTCTGGGACCATCAAGTGAGACGTGCAGAGAGCATGACCCTATCCAGAAAGGCAGTGATGCCAGGGATGGAGACAGAGACAATGACGTGGACAGATGGAGCAGCTGGGGACACTAGACTCAGGGAGGGAGAGGGACTGTGTGCTGACGGTCAGAGGGGTGGGCCTGTGGGGTGCATCCTTTGGTTATGTGATGAAGCATGGAAGGGATTGTGATCATTGCAATGAAATGAAATATGCTAGGATGAATGTAAAACTGATGTTCTCCCATCTAAGCCCACATAATTCACAATAAAAACTAAAAAAAAAGAATTGAAAAAAGAAAAAACCCAGGCTGATCTCCAGTCAGGGAGGCATATTGGGGAGATTCCCACTCCCCTGTCCTCCTACATAGTGATACATAATAAATGCTTTGTGCTTTGCACTGAGTCCTATCTGTAGGTATTGGCCTATCTAGCAGCAGGTGACTGAGAACACTTTTTTAGTCTCCTAACCTGAGAGAATAATTTCTGTTGGTTAAATCCGCAGCTATCAGCAAGTGGTAGTGTTGTTACAAAAGCTCTAGATAACTATGACACCATATATTGATCATAATAGAAATACTCTTATTTAAATATTACCCAGAATTTCTTTTACTGCATTATATTGTTTTATGATATAACACATTCCTAGTTAAATTATTAGAGTCCTGGTGTAGCACCACAGAATAAGCACTTGACCTCAAGGTCGGTTTGAATTGCAAGGTTGGTTATTCAAACTCACCAGTTGCTCCTCAGAAACCCTATACAGGGTTGCCATGAAGCAGAACCAACTTGACAGCACTGAATGACAATTAATATATTAATATGTTCTTGAGATTTCATATGGCTCTGCATTCCTGTTAGGCCACACCTTAAATAGTGGCAAATTCTTAAATTATTTATATACAAAACTAGACGTCTAATATCAAATTATTATTTTTCTAAACTAATTTTAGATTTTTTTTTTTTTTTGCTTTACCATTCTGTATAGAGGCTTTTTTTTTAGTGTACAGTACTAAGAATGGTTTTATAGAAAGCCTGTTGTTTCTGTGTGCCATTGAGTTGATTCTGATTCATAGATGCCCTAATAAGACAGAGTAGAAACTGTCCCATAGTATTTCCAAGTCCTGGTATGGTGCTGTGGACTAATGTAACAGACTGAAAAGTTGTTTGAACTGCAAGGTCAGTGGTTCAAGCTCACCAGCTTCTCATTGGTAATCCTATACTGGGTCGTTATGGGTTGGAATTGACTTGAGGGCACTTAACAATAACAACAATCTTTTTGGAAGCAGATTGCTACCTCTTCCTTCTGAGATGCAACCTTTGGGTCAGCAACCAGGCACATAACCTCTGAACCACAACACTCTTCAAATTACACTTGATAGGTTATTTTCACACTAATAATGTCAATGAAATAAACTACTGTAATAGTACATAAAATAATTAAACTGTACCACAATGAGTAATTTGTTGTTGGAAACAAATCCACTTATTGGTTTAGATTACCTGCTATCGTGTTGAGAAACATCAAGTACTCAAAATTTGAAATCTCCCTGTGTTGCCATCGTTGGGTCATATTAGAAGCTTTAAAAAGTTGACGTGGACTAGCTAAAGAGATACGCCTGCAAAAACAAAAAAAAACAGAATTCATTGTGAAATCAGTTTAAGTCTAAGATTAACTATATCACAATAATGAATCCACAGTATCTGGGTTTATTCACTCATAAAGAAAATCTATATAATTCTGAAAAGTTTTATCCATGTTTTACTAATGGTACTAGGAATGTTTTAATCTACAATTAATGGTTAAACAAATAATTTGGGCTAGCCACATGTCTTCCAATGTGAGTAAGTAGTACAGGTTCTACTTACTCACGTTAGTTGCCCTCACAATGTCATTACGAATGTAACACCTAGGTTCCACACAAACCCTTACTTTTTAATTAATAATTCATTGCTTAACTGACAGAAAAACAAAGAATTTTATTTACTAAAGACAGGGTATACTTACATATCTTTATCAAATTTTAAGTCAAAATTCTTACATAACAGAACCATGGAGCTTTTCTAATACACATTATCAGAAAACCAGTTTTCTGTGTCCTCTCTCTTTTTATTTTAAAGTTTAATCTATTTTAATAGGAAACTTACGGGAACAGCAGAGAAGACAGACAACATTAAAAATATGTATTTGCTTGTAGGACAACTCAGAAAAGTATAGTCGGTGGATGGAATCTCTCATATGATAAAAATGCTACGGACACACTTTAGTTACCGTCAATAAGAAATTTATTTGTTTTTTAAAAATCCAAATGCTGGCATTGTCCAGAAATTTTTAACAGATTTATAATTGTTATAAAGTTGAACTGCTAAAACTTTTTCATTGAAACATTGTGAGTGGCATTAATGCTTTATGTCCCCGCATTTATATTAAAAATTCACACAAATAAAAATGAAAAACCTGCCAATACTTGATTTCTATTGCCTATTTTTCCATTCGCAATCATATACTTAGGTACCTTTTGACCCCATTGGGGGGGGGGGGGGGGTAATCTAACATTCAGAACTACGGGTAACAGGAAAACATTCAGAACTACCGAAAACAGGAAGAAGAGAATTTATTATTTTTTTTTAAAGAATGAAATGTTTCCCATTATAGTGGCTTCTTAAGCACGTTCAACACATATACAATGTGCTAAGCTGGATGTCTTTTGGCATAATTGTTACATGTTTGGCATGGATAGCACACAGGTTGGTGTCTTCAAAAAGTCCAACCAACCACCCCCCCAACCCCCCCCCCCCACACACAGAGTGGACGGAGTAGGGCAGTTTGGACACTGGATACTCAAATGGGGAGGGGGGGACTAAAAAGGCAAGAAGTGACTGGCTTACAAGCTTTCAAGAGGGAACCTGGTGCTAGGGAGCATGGC